GTATAAAATAGTTATGTAACGCCCTCTCGTGGTATATGATGGAATATCGCACTAGTCACCTACATTTTCTTGATATACATATTCGCCAAAAAGCTCTTAGAGCGGGCAAGATAACTAGCTCTTGCTCGCTCGGGTAGCCAATCACAGCGCAGGATTTGATTCATCTTGCGCGCTCATGGAGTTTGCCATATGATAAGATCTGTAATGGACAAAAGTCACCAGTTTATTAAGTCTCAGATTAGGCTTGTAACAAAACAAAAACAATGAATAACTGTCAAAAATTAATAATTACTATCGCAAGCTCTCTTTAGAGCTGTAAACCTGATGAATTGCTCACAACTACATGGGGTTAGACTACGTGTAGTCCCACTTTCGCTTAGTTCGTCGTGCGTGACACGAAAAAAAAGACAAAAAAAAAAAAAAAATGATCGACAAAAATGGCCGCGCGAAATCCTGGGGGCCCAGGATTTCGCACGGCCATTTTTTTCTCTTTCGCGTCACACACGACGGACTAAGCGAAAGAGGGACTACTCGTAGTCTAACATGGTGTAAATGAACTGTTTTTGTTTTAGTTCCTTAAAGGCTTGTGTACAATCTATAAGTTCTTGATGAGACTTAGTTACATTTGTTTCCCCGCTTTTTGTTATACTCTGGCCAATAACCGAGTTTTTCTTGCATACATTCCAGGTAGTCTCCTTCTGCACATTTGGCATTTGTCACCTTTACCCATTTGAATCGTAAGTTTTTTCCACCGTTCCTGCTGAACTGGTCTTTCACAAACTCGTCAATCGCCAATGTTTGACTTTTGTGCTGCTGTAACCGCCGGCGTATGTCTGTGGAATATCCCACGTAGATGTACCGAACATCTCCAGATTGCATGACACCTATGGTGTAAATGCCTTCAGTGTGAAGTGCTTTATCAAGATCATTGGCGTACGATCTCCATGCTCCACTGAGTAGACTTCCACAAGTACTGGAGCGGTATATCTGAAAAAAAAAAATAAAAGAGAACGTGCGTATTACTGAGTAACTGTAATGTAGTTAGCACCTCATCGTTTGTTTCCAATAAAATATTCATGGTGTCACAGGGAAAGTTAAGACTAGGGTTACACCAAAGGATATTCTTCTAGCTTCCTAGATGTTTCCAGATTTATCAATTTTAGGATATTCGGATTCGTAGGAGTTTGCACTGAAAGGATATTCGGATTCCTAACCGTTTACACACGATAAGAACTCTGGGAACATTCACGATAGAATGGTTACCAAGCTGTTTGTTGCCACGTTCGACAAGATGAAACAAAATTCTACCAATAAAGAAGGTTAGACTCGATTCAGATGCCACTGCATAAAGGAAGTTTTAGTTGGACAGAAGACGAAGTTAATTGAACTTCTTCTAAGAGTTGTTTCTACTGCATATTCTTCCCAAAAGGATTAGAAATATGGCATTACCCATTATATAATTGACTGCCTGTACCTGTAACAGAATGAGACAACCCACGACCGCCACCAATGCGCTCACTACTCTGAGGTCCGCCATTTTGGTTCTACCGCAAACTTAAAATTTCTAAGAAATCACACACTGTGACCATTTCTTAGAAAAGTAGACAAGAAAATCACATACTGTGACCATTTCTTAGAAAAGTAGGCAAGAGCAAGGTATTGTGCCAGAATGCAATAGGTATGAATGCAATGCAGTTTTTATTTAAAAAAAAAGAATGGTAAACCAACGGTTTGATTCATCAGTATTTTCTTAAATAGTCAATCTCAGATACTAAATATTAGAAAAGTTGCGTAATTTCCAAAGTATGTGCTGAATTCGAAGGGAAAAAACCCAACCTTTGTGCATGATAAAAGAATATTTTATAAGGGGCGGACCATTTGACTTTTGAGTAGTGGTTGGGTGATTTGGTGCACTAGGTGATGAATTTTGTTTTGGTCTAGCAGGATTTTTGTTTACAAAACTACCCAACACCCCTCTCCTCAAAAGTGAAATGGTCCACCCTAAATACAACCTGTAGAAATTGCATCATATGACAACAATAATATACAAATGAAGATGGTTATGAGGGAAAAATCCCTTTACTTTGTTTATAGAAGCTTTTAGAGTTAGGGAAATATCCCGTTGCTGATTGGCCAATCAGATTTTATCAGATTTTCTTACTGGTTAGAAAGTCGATATAAACTCAGATAGACGTGACGTCATGCAGTCTATACTACTGGGAAACAAAAGGCGCGAAATTCAAAAAAGCTAGTTAATATATTCATGAGATTAGTAACTCGGCTTTGAGAGAGGTGAGTTAAAGTTTCCTGATTGGAATTTACCCTTCGTATATTTCCAGTACAACACCTTATTATTACAGACAGAACCAAATTATCGTCTGGCAGTTGTAGCCAGTACTTCATGCCAAGGAAATTAGAGGTAAGATAAGATAAGATAAGAACCTTTATTCAAGTGTCAAGGTATTTAGCCCTAGCGGACCAGTTAGAGACACTAAACAAGAATTCAGCTACAGTACTTAAATGCTAAAAAAAAAAAAAACATTTACAACACTAAAGTGATTTAAATTACGATACTAAAATAAAAAGAATTATTTACAACGCAATCTATTCACTGCAAAGTTTACGGCAATTACTGTTATTGGTGAAAAAAAAAAAAAAAAAAAAAAAAAAAAAAAAAAAAAAAAAANAAATTGCAATAGTAAAATAATTAGAATTATTTACAACGTAATCTATTCTGCCTGCGAAGTTTACAGCAATTACTGTTATTGGTAACATAGTCGGAAAAACGCAGAGACCTTTATGCGTCTGTAGACTTTGTTTACCTTCGACAATAAAGGTGAACTTGGCAAAAATGCCAGGGAAGCGCTTCAAGGTTCCTGTACTTCAAGTTATTTCTATGCAGCGTCACATTGTTTAGTGATCAATTCAGCCTGAATTTCAGCATTCTTCGCGAGTCGTACACCCAAGTAAGATGGCTGCAATTCAGACTATGATCGAGTTTCCGTGAAGTCCGTTAGCCTTTCAGTCGAACAGCCTGTGCTTTTACTACACTGAGGACCCCATTATATCGAAGTCTCTCTCCTCCGCGATTTTCGTTCTCTTCAAAAGAGGAACAAACATTACAACAGGGTCATAAAACATAAAAACACGCGCGTTTAGTTGCACTAAAACTTGTTGGTCAGTTTTGCTGGTCTTTCGACGGTTCCAAACGCGGACTGCTCGTATCCTTGGTTCTGACAGCCGTTGTATACAGTTCTCTACGTAACGAACAAATCTAACAGTGAAACATGAGGTACATGTTACCAGTGGAGATCTTAGGCTCTCCTGAAACCTATTATCTCATGGTAGTTGGGATGCACTTAGAAAAGCGCCCGTAAAGTCTAATCAATGTCTAAATTGAATATGCTCAGCAAAAATATAATCAATTTGAACTCGCTTAATGTTTCTAAGAAATCAAACATTGTGACCATTTCCTACAAAAAGAAGATTAGAACAGGGCATTCTGCCAGAAGCAAGCAGGCATGAAATCAATGCAATGTCATCTACTTTGCAACCAATAAAATTTGAGATTGTGCGATATACGGTGTTTCTTATTGGTTACAATTTGAATACATGTCAGACCATGTCAGTGTAAAAGGAAATAATATCTGTAGTAACAAACACCTCTACAAGTTTATTCGCAGCTTAACCTCTCAAGCTCAGGTAAGTTTCTATGCTGTGTTACACCACAACCGTTAGTTTATTTGGGCGGGAAGAAAAGATTTACGGCATGAAAGGAGGCAACTAAGGCTCGAGGACTATAAAATGGGGTATAGTATAGAGAACACCTCTATATTGAAGATCGATCTTTGCACGTTTTGATATGGTTTCTACTACCAGTCGAAATTTTTACCCAATTTTCCGGTAGCTGTAATAAGTCAGTTGCAAATAATTAGGCGGGAAAATTGAATGGTGATGCAATAAGTTGTGTTGACACTTTTAAATGCATCTCTTCGATAAAGGTGGAGTAGCGAAGAAAATTACAATGTCTGCAATGAAATATGGAAGTTCGAAATAAGCAATCGGGTGCGATTATCTTAGAGCAGAAAATCTATCAGTGGATTTCAATAGTAGGGCAATAAGGAGTCTGAGGTGCATAACTATACACTGCTTGTTGTCTGCCGACGCAAACAACAGTAGATTGTGATCGAGTTGGCTGGTCTTTCATTGCGGGCAAATTAAAATTACAATTAGTATTTCCCTGGTCTGGCGTTTTCCAGTTCAGTCTAGAAAATTTTTTTCCAACATTTAGTAGCCCAGGTTCCTCAGTAATCCTGCCGTCGGTTTAAAGAACGGCGTTAAATTTCGATTAAAACTTTTATTTAATCATTAAATTACGTTTATACCTTTTCCTAACTAGTCCTTCGTGTTCTCTAAACCGTTCCTTCATAGGTAAACAGTTCGAGGCCGAGTGACTTTCAAGGCATCAGACAAGTCTAAGTTGATCTTTCCTTTCTTAGCAAGGTAGGTCGTGGCGATGCTTTCGTTATTTCTTACTCCGGCACTTAGAACACTTAATGGATCTTCCCTACATTTCTACAAATTTCACTAGGCTAGGCCAACTTGAATTGTGTGAAACTCCCAGAATTCACTAAAATAATCATACTAGTTGTCTGGCGCAACTGATCGTATTGAAAACAATCCGGCAATAAATGAAGATCTCCTAGAGATTAGGCTGAATTGAATTCACTCAAAACTTAGTGTTATCAGCTTATCATTCCTTCGCAACAATTTCATCCCTCAGATGGCCTCCAGGATATGTGAAAATCTAATGAAAAAAAATTGGAGATCCTACGCCAATGATCTTGCTGAAGCGCCCAAGGCTGAAGGCATTTAAACCATAGGTGTTGAGAGGGCTGCAGATGTTCGGTAATTGTATGTGGAGCAGACCAACAACATTCGAAGACGGCTACAGGAGTAGTAGCAAAGTATAGCAAAAAAGGTGGGAACAAATGTAAATAAGTCTCACTAAAAACATGTCTTCTGTTGGCAAGCTACATGTACATCAATATCTACATTTAATAAAGTCGGCAAAAATCGTGAGATATCACACCAAGTGTTAAAATCTGAATAAAGATAATACGTACAATGCGATATTAAACGGAAAAACTAAAACTAAGCAGACTAAGGCATGCTGAATTGCTTAATAAAATGTTTGACATCCTTTACCTGCAAGTTTTTATTCCAAGGTTGGATTTTACCTTTTAATTTTCATCCATTTAAGATGACTTGCTGTCTTCGTTCGGCAGATAATATGTCTACCCAAGAGATTATCAAGGTAAGAGAGTGAATCCCCCCTATAGGCCTTATACCCTCTAAAGTTATTTTTAGACATTTTACCCAGTTCTTCCGCGGATGTTACTCGTGCGTGCGTGGATGTTTTCGTGGAGGATTTGTTTATCCGTCGTTTCGTTTCGTTTCAAAGCAAACGAAAACTTCCAACGCTGTGGAGATGTCTTCTTTGATATTTTGATTTCAAGCCAAGGAGCTTCGGTTCTTGGTATGTTTTAATACATTTCGTAACTTAAATAGGAGTTTAAATATGAGACAGATGTCTCCTGCTCAAACAATAACAACTGAATGAACGGCAGAGAAATGTTTAGACAAACGAGTGCAAAGCCAACAAACGCCCAAACACAAGCTAGGAACCCGAACAAACAGATGATCGAAAGTGCAGGCAGACGCTCGCTGCCCAAATAGCAAAAAGCATTTTAAGCAGCAACGGCAACAACGCCAAAGACAACGTCGATTCAAAAAACGACTTATATTCAACCGACGAATCTTGCGAGAATTTAAGTTCATTCAGTTTGTGTACACTGTCAGAAATATCTCAAACAGAATATGTAAGACAGCTTCAAGATTCCAAGGAGAAATTTTAAATATTGGCCGTCGTCAAGTTCACGTTCTCTCGAATATGCACGATGTGACTGCATCACGTTGTTGTTTTGTAACCTTTTGTAAACAACGGCAAAGATATGAACGCACGCTCACACAGCTATTGTACTCGTTGCCGTTACCGTTGAATTCTGTTTACTTAAATTTCCTAGAACCAAATAAATGGCAAAATAATGAACAGCGAAACAGACACAAAACAAACGAAAGCCTGGCTGAACATCTCTGGTATGAAACGAAACCAAAACACAAAACACAAATGACATTCCCGCCATTTCGTCTCAGGTAGTTTCGAAAAAGTCGCTTCAGCTGTCCACGCATCGCGCGAGTAGCATCCTCGGAAGAACTGCGTACCATGTCTAAAAATAACTTAACAGGGATTACTTCGGATAGAAGGCCTATATGGGGGATTCACTCCCTTACGTTGATAATCTCTTGGTCTGCCTTAGTCATCAACTGAGTCTGCTGTTCCTAGCTAGTCATACATACTTCAATTACTACTTCACAGCTAGCCCGTTTGTGCAATTGCCCAATATATAAATATATATATAGGTGACCATATTCGCAAAAACATGTCCGCAAACAGCTCAAAGCCAGTCTCAGCGGCTAAAAGTGCTCTGACCAACCCCCTGGCTGGGAGATTGGCCCCTCACGCATGCACGTCAACCTCGTTCCCAGGGTCTTTCCCTCGCTTGGGGGTGGGGCGCCCCACCCCCAAGCCAGGGAAAAGACCCTGGGAACGAGGTTGGCATGCACGTGGCACGGGCCTATCCAGCAGGATGCCATATCAACACAGAACCTTCAAAAAAGGTTTTATGACTCTAGGTTTTAGTACAATGTCGAAGTACCATACAACCCACACCATCGACGAAGCCGACCGTTTGCCGATCTCATCAGTAGTATCAGTTGCATCCCTGAGAGCAACGAGATCAGGGGAGGAATGATCCATGTGTCGACATGCATTAGCGCAGAGCATCGCTGGATTAAACCTACCAGTTATTACTGACAGAACTAGCCGCGTCTGTCTTACACCCGCTTTCACA